ACTCAAGTGGGGGACGGTTTTGAAGTTGTGCGGCATAGGTGCCACACACTAGCTGTGCCTTAAGCTGTATTTGAATAGATGGGGCATGTTATCGGGAGGGGGAGAGGGGAGGGAGGGGGGTTGGTTATGTTAAATGTTGAAATTGTTGCATGTTGAATTCAAACTTTTTTAACAAGTCCTTGATGTTTCAATTTGAAAGTGACCAATGGGGCTGAGGCTGTGTCCACTGAGGCTAAGATGACTGCCTTTCCTGATTGGCCTTGGCTTTTCCATACATTGTGTGACCCTTGCCCTATGACCCTTTGGCTGACCTTACCGGAAGCCATGACGACAGCAGCCTTTTGCCATTAGACGCAGGGTGATGGTGAGGATTCCGAGGGTTAGACAAAACTGGTTAATCTGAACTAGGTGACTGTTACCTTGCGTGTTTTGTGGCCAAACCACCACCAAAAACCTCACACTGTGATGTAAGTACTTAGTGTAACTAGTAACATTTTTGTAAAATGTAGAAATGCATGTAATCAGTTAAGTTTTATATTTTACAATGTTCTGTAAAATAAAACTTAGCGAGGTAAATTGAATAAAGGAGCAGTCACTCTTCTAACAGATTGCAGGTGAAGTTTAGTTGGCTTAGCCTATTTGACTTGCCCTTAATTTAATTTATGGCAAATCACAAATGTATCAAAGGTATAGCAATATGATAGCAAAGTCCTACTCCAGTAAATAAAAATTGATATGTTTGTACTAACTTTCAAAAAACTTGATGCCTTGCTGTCAATACAAAGCATCTAATTGTTCCCTTCGTGTGATAAAGGTGGGGGAGGTGGATACAGCAGTCGGAGAACCTCTGGCAGAGACAAATACGGACCACCTGTTCGTACAGAGTACAGGCTTATTGTAGAAAACCTATCTAGTCGCTGCAGTTGGCAAGATTTAAAGGTGAGTGCTATGTGAAGGATTAAAATGATAAGTACGCTTGGTGCTTAAAAGATGGGACTCCTGTTACATCTTTTATTAGTGGGCATGCATAGCATATCGGTCTTTCTAGATACTAGAACTGAAGCAATCTCTGGTTGCCATTTAGGATTTCATGAGACAAGCAGGTGAGGTGACCTACGCGGATGCTCACAAAGAACGCACAAATGAGGGTGTGATTGAGTTTCGCTCCTACTCTGACATGAAACGAGCTTTGGATAAACTGGATGGTACAGAAATAAATGGCAGAAACATCCGGCTCATTGAAGATAAGCCGAGAACAAGCCATAGGCGCTCTTACTCTGGAAGCAGATCAAGGTAACTTGAAAGACCCATGGGGGGTGGGGAGCTGATCACAAACAAAGGGAAATGGTGCAATGTATTGTATCACTTCTCAGTTTACCCTTTCCTTTGGTTGTGTCTTCAACTGGGTTTTCTATAGGTGCTTTGACACAGTGGGTTTGTTGCCTTTACTTAAAGGCAAAGGGTTGTGTTGAGACTAAGATTTCTTGTGGCTTGTTTTGTTTTTGATGTAGGTCACGATCTAGAAGAAGGTCACGAAGTAGGAGTCGCAGGAGCAGCCGCAGTAGATCTCGAAGCGCTTCCAAAAGTCGCTCCCGGTAAGTAATATGCTGTTGTCTTCCTGACTGCCGGGGGAGTTGCAGCATTGGTTATGTAATTGTCGTTTGTTTGTTTAGATCCAGGTCAAGGAGCAAAGGTCGATCGCGTTCTCGGTCAAAAAGCAGGAAGTCAAGATCAAAGAGCAAATCTAAGCCCAAGTCTGATCGAGCATCCCGTTCCCGCTCTAGAAGTAGATCTAAGGATAAGTATGAAAAATCTCGGAGCAGATCTCGGAGTAGGTCTCGTTCACCCAAGGAAAATGGGAAAAGTGATGTGAAGTCAAAATCCAGATCGAGGAGCCAGTCTCGATCCAATTCACCCGTACCTGCCCCACCTTCAAAGGCTCATTCTGTGTCTCCACCAAAAAGAGCTGCATCAAGATCCCGCTCTAGGTCTCGTTCAAAGTCAAGGTCGAGGTCCAGATCAAGCTCCAGAGATTAACCCAGAACTCTTGTCTTTGCACACTGTTATGGAACACTTTCTTACTTGCTTAGGCAGTTACTCTTTTGTGTTTATACTCTGTCTCTTCTGCAAGAGGAATTGCCTAAAAAGAGGTTCACAGCAATTTGATTTGTGGCCAAATTGGGTGAAAAAGATAAATGGTGGCATGAAGTCAAAGACCCTCTCCCTTTGTAGAATTAAGATAACTTTGATTTTATAGTTTTGGGGCTATAACTTTTATAAAGATTAATCTCTGTCAAGAGTTTCGTTTTGTTTTCTTAGGTTTGCAGCAGAATCTGCTGCAGGTTTTTTGTTTTATTTGTTTGGTTATTTTTAAATTAACTGTTTGAAGCTTTGAATACTTAAGGGTTTAGAGGGAAAATTCAAATTTTCAATTATGTTGGCTTTTTATAAAGCTTGAGTTATGTAAAAAATAAAAGTTTGCTACCAACATGACTGCCTTATGAATAGGTCAATAGTAAACTTTTAATACTAACATCTGCTATTTGTGCAAACAATGTAAATTCTACTTAAGTTGTAAAACAAGGCAAGCTTCTGACCAGCAATAAATTATTCGATTTGGATAACATTATTTTGTGCTGTTGATCAAATTTGCCAAAGTCTACTACCCCTCCAAGTAAGTTAAAAATAAAAGGTACTTTGTATTGAATCTGTTAAGTTTTGCCTAAATTAATTGGTTTCATGTAAGTTTTCTGAAAGTTTCATTGAACTCTTCTAATAATAGCTCCTAAATACTTGGGATCTTATTTAGTTAGCTAGTAGTCCCGTTTCCTGAAAATGGTCTGTAATATTGTGTTAGATTATGGTTCAGTAATCTTACATAAAAATGATGAAAGTAACGTCTGCATATTCTTGCTTACTAGAAAGGGCAACTTTTCTAATGAGATCATTTACAGATAACATACTGGTAAAAATCTACTGCAAAGTAAAATGCCACCCAACAGTCCAGCCCCCTTTGTAGTTCATATTGGGATATGTAGTAGATAACTGGTGAGATTCTTAACTGTGTAAACTACACAATGTATAGTTAATTTGAAGAAATTAAAGGGGTTTACCATAAACTATCTGTTATCTCTTTATGACTAAAGTGTAATGAATGCTGTATAATCCAAAATATTAAACGGCAATTTTTTTTTAATTGTTACTGTTGGTATGGCAAATTTACGTGCATCATTGGGTTAGCGATTAGTCCATACATCTATAGGGCCAGTTTTTTTGTAATGGGAGTTTGAGAAATGAATTACTTTAATATATGTTTGCATTTTGGTTTTGTCACTTAGAAGCACTCATTAACCTCAGTCTGACATCAAAGTTTGGGTTCTTGGGCTCATTCTTCCTAGCAACTGTCAACTGTAAGCCACCAAGAGACAGCGGGGTTGAGACTGGCATTGTGTCACAGGTGGGAGAAAGCATTCTGTTCTAGGCCAGTTTATTCACTATGCAGGAGATACCACCAAATAAAATGGGGGTGGGTTGGAATAGAAGTTTAAGATCTAGGTGTCAGTGGGAATACTTGACAAAAGTAGTGTCTAAATTGACTTCAAAGGGAATTTAAAGTTTTTATAGATGTTTAATTGTATTAAGTCAAAATAGAAACTAGAATTTTTGAGTTTTTTAATTTCTCAATGGTGCCTGAAATGATGGTACCATTTTTGTATATTTGAAAGTGATCCTTAATATATGGAAAGGCAAGTCTCCATTAACCTTTAAGGATAAGTAGTTTTATTAAGAATTGGCTTTCACCAACGCTCTCTTGTTTTCAAGGAAAGAATATAATGTAGCTTTATAGCCACTGGAAATGACAAAGTATTAGTGTGGGTGATGGGGCTTGCAAGCATATCCAGGGTCCTTTGGGGTCTGGTAGCAAATCATACAGAAATAAGTTTATTCACATTGTTAATCTGTTACGTTGGTAATTGTGTAAGTGACTGCTCCCATAAAAATTAGGTAGTAATAACAAAGACCCAATTTATTAAAACCACCTTGTGTAACCTGTTAGACAACAAATGTATTAATCAGAACATAGAGTTGACCTAAGAAAATGTTTCATTACTTGCCCACTTGTTCATGAAATGTGAGCATATTGGAACGTGCCATACATTGAACTCTACGTGTGACTAAGTGGAATATAGAGCAGATAAAGGGCGAGACAGTAAGTTAGGGACATCCTGATGGCACATCTTTGACTTACTTGCCACAGTGCCTTTATGGCCATTTTAAGTTCTGCAACTTTTATTTTTCCACTCTAGCCACCCACCCACCACCTTTCATCTGAGTGTCATCTCCCATTTTGTTAAGCTATTTTACGCTTTTTCTCAATAAAATGCTTAATGAAAGGTTTGAATGTGTGTGTTCCTACTAACCACAAAATAAGGTTGAGCATCCTTAGTCAAGTGGGGTTTTGGAATGGGATTGCCATTGGCAAACAGTTCCTAGCTTCAAACAAGCTGTTCAGAGATCGAAGTATGGGCTCAGCATAGTTTACCTTTTGTCAACACTGCTTCAGTGTCCTTACCTGTTAACAGTAGGGATAAGCGTTTGTGGAAGACTAGAAGAATACATGGAAATAAAAGGTACTTAAAACAGTACCACAATGAAAGTATTAAATGCTAGTGTAAAGTGGACAATCTTTCAGTTGGCAAATTTTTGTACAGAATACCTTTTTCTGAGGTTTAGAATATTTCCTAGAGCAGTTATTAAAGTCCTTAGCCTAATTTCTTTAATTTGGACATGGAGTGCTCAAGTTTGAATTTACGCTTGAAAATTACTGATTTAGGTACAAAAGTATGTTTGGAAAATATATCAACCCCAGACTCTTCAGTGTAGCCACTAATAGAAGTAGGGCTGGTGAAATTGGGTCTCATGTCTTTGAGAACCGTCCCTGGGAAGACTGGTGCTTGGTAAAGTAGAAGGGCAGTGAGAAAAGACCCTCAGATGGCTTGACATAAGTGGCAGTAACAATAGGGTCAAACAGTTGTGAATGTTTAAAGACAAAAGTGTTGTATGTAAGCTTACTGAGTCAGAAGTAACCTGAGGGTCCCTAACTACTATATGTCCAGCTTTTTGGCATATATGCCCAGTGATGACAGGTTCATGCCATGAGTAGTACTGGAAAGTATTGCAAATAAAGACGCATTTGAAGTGGAGGTGCCAGTGGCAGAAAGGCTTGACAAACTACTTCAGAAAAAGTTGTGGACATTGCAGAATCTTTTAGAGCAGTTTGATTGTGATAATGTGGAATCGCTGAGTGGGAACCAACTAGGCAGCACCTGGTAGAAGAATTAATTTATACACACAATGATCTAAACACTGCTCATCTTACATTCCTGAAGCCTACATACATTGGTAAATGGACTAATTTGGCACAATTTGTGATTGATAAACATTCTAAAATGTTTGCTCAGGCATGCCTAACAGTACCAGTTTGGCCCCCATTGTGGCCCTTGGTGAACAGGCTTTTTAATGGGAATGAATGGTTCAGAAGGTGGAAGTCACAGTGAAATTCACCTTTGCCCAACTTTGGAGCAATCCGTGACCACTAACTTCTTTGGGAACATTCACAGAACAAGGCTTCATGTTTGCCAACAGCTTCACATAACCCACTTGCAGCGTTAGAGCTTTTGTTCATAAGATAGATATCCTTTTTAGGTTATTTTCTGAAGAAGTCAGTGGTAACAAGACTCTTCTAAGCGGAAATGAGGTTTCAGTATTGGAGATAATAAAACAAGTATTATCCACAGGCCTTTGTGTAACCAGTTAAGTTCAGTCCAAAGTACCCATTTCCCCAATCCAGCTCCTTAAACTAAAGAATTGGCAGCCGTTAAGTTGTTAATAGACTAAGAAGGGTAGAACTGTCCGTGTGCACTTCAAAGGCTGTAACTACTGGAATAGAAAACCTCATCTTTCTCCCATGGAGCAGCTAGTGGTTTTGAACTGTTGGCCTTGGTTAGCCCAATGCGTAAGCTAAGCCACCAAGCCTAGTTTCTACCCGCTTGGTTTTAACCATGAGATTTAGCAGCTTTGTAACGTGCCAGGTTGAATCATGACACCCCTCCTAATTCCCTCGTTCTCATCCCTGAAACCTGTGAACCTGTTACAGAGCCAAAGGGACTTTGCAGGTATGATAGCAACATTGGAGGTGGGGAGGTTAACCTGTATGGTCCAAGTGGATCCAGGGTCGCCATAAGGGCATATGTAAGGAGGAAGGCAAGCCACACTGGCATCAAGCAGATTCCAAGTCAGTGAGCCCTTTGGACAGGGTAGACCTGCCCCTGTGGATTTCTGAGACTCAAATTTTATGGAAGTAGAAAGTTCACTATTTCTCCCATAGAGCGATGGTAGTATCACCAGGCATTTGTGTGTGTGGCCCTACTGGATGCGTTCAAACTCAACCTTTAAGTTAGTAGCTGGTCACAAAAGCCAGAGACCACCTGCTTAAAGTCACGTAAGTGTGGCAATTGGTTATAACCACATACAGCATGACTAGGGCCTTATAACCACTTGCATATTGGACTTGCTCTCCTGAATCCCTGCTATTGCTGTGAGAAAACATGCCCTGCCAACTAAGAGGAGTGAAGTGGGGGCAGATTGCCTGTTCGTCTTTGTCCCAGCAGACTATAGCTTAAAGACCACGGCCTAAATCAACTGACTAGCTGTGTGTGTGTGTGTTGGGGGGGTTGCTACAAAGTATGGGGGCTCACAATAATAGCTTATACAGGGTGCATAGCAGTTCCATCTATATCTTTAACCAAAAATAAAGCCTCACTACCATTGAGTTGATGCCACCTCATAATGACATAGGGTAGAAATTGTCAATCTGCATTTTGTAGATCATGGTTTGGAGAAGAGTCCATGAGACCAGGGTTATATCCCAAATATGCTCATGTTCAGTATTTGTTCCATTTTGCCTAAGCAAGTGTTACAGGTTTAGCTTCCATTTGCTCCTCCATAGTCTGCCTTTCATGCTAAGCCCCTGAAAACTAACCTCAGTTGTTCTGTCCACGTGCCCTCTGGTTTCTGCCTGGGTTCAGCTACAAGGGAGCAGCAGCAGGATGTGGGAGCAAGGCGAGGGTTTGGGATATGTACTCCCACAGCTCCCTCCTCGATAGGTTAACTAAGGATGAGCTGGTTGAGGCCCTTGACCACCTGCTGCTGCTACTCACTGCCTTCCAGTCAACCCACAGTGACCCTGTGGGATAGAATAGAACTGTCTCGAGGTTTCAAGACTCAATCTTTACAGGAACAGAAAGTACCATCTTTCTCCCATGGAACAGCTGGTGGATTTGAACTGCTGACCTTAAGGTAAGCAATCCAACGAGTAACCCACTGCTACCAGGGCTCCTCCCTTGGTCAGTGGTCATACAGTTCTGTACAGTGTTGCCCATTCTCCTTCCAGATGCAGATAAATTTGGAGTCTTAAGGGTAACTTGCTGTGGTCTTTCTACATCCTGCCCACACCTTTATTATACTTCCTTTATTAAATTCTCTTCAAATAGGGGTGTATTATTTCCTGTCATAACCCTAATAACTGCCAGTGAATCAGGCAGTAAGTAAACATTTCCACCACCACCATTTGTCTGCTCAGTTTGTCGCACTATGGCGGCTTAGATGTTTCTGCAAGCTATGTCACTGGTATTTCAAATACCAGCAGGGTCATCTAACGTGAACAGGTTACAGCAGAGCTTCCAGACTAAGAACAGACTACAGAGAAGGAGTTGGCAGTTCACTTCTAAGGAATTAGCTACTGAGAACCTTATGGGTAGCGTTGAAACATTGTTAGATCCGGAAGGCTTAATGAATAGTCAGAACATTGTCAGAAGTGGTACCAGGAGATGAGCACCTCAGGTCAGAAGGCACTCAAACTGTGAAGAAGAGCTGCCTTCTCAGAGTAGAGTTGACTACAGTGACACGAATGAAGTAAAGTCTTTGGGAAATAGCTGCAAAAATCTAACAATTGGAATGTACAAAACATGAATCTAGGGAAATTGGAAGTCGTAAAATGAAATGGAATACATAAAAATCAATATCTAGGCATTAGCTGAAATGGACTGGTATTGACCATTTTGAATAAGAATCATATGACTTACAATTTTGGAAATGAGCGAGGGCTTTGTATTCATCTTCAGAAAGGACATTTCAAAATCT